ACACCACTGCACTGAATTCTTCACAGCAGATTTAGGGCAGTAGGAGTATTCAACATTCATTTGTACTAACCTCTCTGTGGCATAGTTTAAAAGTTCTCTTCCATTCCTAATAAGATGCAATAGCTAAAACACTTTAATTAAAAGAATATGCCTTTAAAAAGGAATAGGAAAGCATGTTACATTTCCTTAACCTCCCTTCTAGAGGTATCCTTGCCTCAAGCTTAAAAATAGGTTTCAACATGTAAAGCTCTTCAGCCACTATTTTGAGTAAATACGTCAACACCCTTATGAGGCATACCGAATGCCTCATAAGGGTAATGCTGTAACAGTCAGCATGGATTTGTCAAAAACAAATCATGTCAAATCAATCTGATAGCTTTCTAACAAGCCTTGTGGATAGGGGAGGAAAACAGCAGAGGTGGTGTATCATGACTTTAGTAAAGCTTATGAGAAGGCCATGCAAGACAGTATCAAAAACAAACTAGGGAAATGCAACCTAGATGGAGCTACTATAAGGTGGGTGCAAAACTGGTTGGAAAACTGCTCCCAGAGAGTAATTATCAGTGCTTCACAGTCACCCTGGAAGGGCATATCGAGTGGGGTCCCACAGGGATCAGTTCTAGGTCCGGTTCTGTTCAATTTCATCATCAGTGATTTAGATAATGGCATAGACAATATACTTATCAAGTTTGCTGACAATACCAACCTGGGAGGGATTGCAAGTGCTTTGCAGGATAGGATTAAAATTCAAAATGATCTGGACCAACTGGAGAAATGGTCTGAAGTAAATAGGATGAAATTCAATAAGGACAAATGCAAAGTACTCCATTTAGGAAGGAACAAATCAGTTGCACACATACAAAATGGGAATTGCCTGCCCAGAAAAGAGTACTGCGGAAAGGGATCTAAGAGTCATAGTGGACCACAAACTAAATAAGAGTCAACAGTGTAATGCTGTTGCAAGAAAAATTAACGTCCTTCTGGAGTGTATTAGCAGGAGTGTTGTAAGCAAGACATGAGAAGTCAATACTCCGCACTGATTAGGCCTCAACTGGAGTATTGTGTCCAGTTCTGGGCACCACATTTCAGGAAAGGTGTGGACAAATTGGAGAGAGTCCAGAGAAAAGTGACAAAAATGACTAAAGGTCTAGAAAACATGACCTATGAGGGAATATTGAAAAAAATTGGTTTGTTTAGTCGGGAAAAGAGAAGGCTGAGAGGGGACATGATAACAGTTTTCAAGTATATAAAAGGTTGTTATAAGGAGGAGGAAGAAATATGGTTTTTCTTAACCTCTGAGGATAGGACAAGAAACAATGGGCTTAAATTGCTGCAAGGGAGATTTAGGTTGGACAGTAGGAAAAACTTCTTAACTGTCATGGTGGTTAAGCACTGGAATAAATTGCCTAGGGAGGTTGTGGAATCACGATCATTGGAGATTTTTAAGAGCAGGTTAGACAAATACCTGTCAGGAATGGTCTAGATAATACTTAGTCCTGCCATGAATGCAGGGGACTGGACTAGATGACCTCTCGAGGTCCCTTCTAGTCCTACAATTCTATAAAATCAGAATTCAACTGGTAGTAGGAACATGATGTCAGAGAACACAAGCAGTTCAGTATGTATTTCAAATGAAAAATACTCAAAGATGTTAATAGGCTGGCATTCTTACAGGACAAGTTGTGAAGTCTCAAGAAGCTCAGAAAGACTTTTACACTCTCCATTTTTTCCCCTGTAGATTAAGAGTAAACTCCAGAAGTGCCATGAATGAGGGTTCCCCCCATTGGCTTGCTGGCCCTGAAGCACGTCCACATATTGAAATCTGCACTTTACTAGTGCCACCATTTGGAACAGATCACCAATGCAAATCTTGAGCCCTTTAAAACCAGTCGTAACATAACGCTGACACAGGCAACTTGTGGTGTATAGTTACATCAGGTAAGTTCAAATACATTGTTAACTGGCATCCAAAGTACTTGAAAATAGGCACTGTGAGCCTGAGACATTATTAAAATTTGTTTATATAAGGCCAGAAATTTAGACAGTGCTTTCTAGACAGAGTAAGATACAATCCCTGCCCTAAAAAGTTTGCCATCTAAAACAGACCAAATACGGGACACTTAATTGAGTTGTTAAGTGAAGTAAGGAAGGGTATGGAGAGATTACTGGTTAGGAAATCAAGGCTAGAAGGATTTTCGGGTGTGTGGGGGGGGAAATACACAGGATTTAAAATAGGGGTGGTCTTGCTGGGAGACTGTTTCAAGTATAGAGACCCAAGTTTGTAAATGTTGGCATTTAGTCTTTACTGCTAATTTTACTGTAATATTAGCAGTAGTTTACTCCTTGGGAAAATTACTTTATTTGAAAATTTACTGGATAATCAAGAGGTGACTTGTGATTCAAAAAGGAAAATAAAACAAGCTGATTTGCCAATTAATGGCAAGCAAAATAATTTGTTGTATTAGGAGACTGAAGTGACCTGAGAGGATATGTAGGGGACACAACAATTGTCAAATGTATTAGATCATTGTTAAATGGTATTTCTTCAGGGAGTGGGATACCAATAGTAACGGTTTGGATTCACCGGCAATAGAGCAAGAAAGACTTACGGTCACTTCTGTAAACAAGTTCGCCATCTCTCTAAAAAACCAACAATCTAATAATATTACAGGCTCAGTCATAACTGCTTCCTTATGAATGCATCTACCTTAGAAGTGAGAATGCTAGCCCTAATCAAGGAAGGAGGTCAAAACATTTAACAAGCTCTAAGTGTGTGTGTGTGTTTTTTTTTTTAAATTATGAACCATATGCCAAAAATCCCCAATACACCATTGTCAACATGTGACATTTCTCCACATGCGCTACTGTTTTATTAACCAAGTGTTTCATTAACCAAGCCTGCAAACTGTCAGTGGCAGGGCAAGGATTTATAACTGGGGGCGGAGGGGCATGCTGAGCCATTGGTGATGGGATGGAGAACGAGACTGCTCCACACTCCTGTTGTAGCTCAGCTCCTGTCTGCAGGGCTGGGCCCAGCTCCACACTCCAGGCATTACAAACTGGCGCCCGGGGTCATAGTCCCATTCAGGTTTCACCTGATCTTCCCTCTGTCATGAGGGGGGCTGGGCCAGGCCAAATTTGAGTGAATGGGGTAACAACGACATGTCACACAGGGTCAAGTGCGACCCCATGCACCATCTCACAGCACCAAGAACAGGATGCCGAACCCAGACCCACAAGACAGGAATGGTTGCTGCCAGGTGAGTGTGTGGGGCAGGCTCGCTCTCCAGCCTTGTGTGAAAGGCACCACACATATATACCTAAAGGCTGCTGGGGGAAGGGGAAGTGGTTGCCCCCCACCCCAAAGCTAGTCCCTATTAGCTCCTGCATGTTTCTATGGAATGGAGCATCTGAGCAGCAGAATGTGTAAGCACTTGCTTACATATTGAATTTGATCTTTCTAGTCCTCAATAGTATGTCAAATATTTACTAAGCTCTAGCAAAAAGTCACTAGGTTTTGTGCAGGTAACAGAAAAGATATTTTGAGCATGGATTATTTTTGTTCCACCATTACATCAGGTTAGTACATTCTAACCTACAGTAATGCTGAAAATCACATAACAAAATCCATTTAAGGAGCCAACAACTTTAAGCTATAGCCACTTTCTTTCAATACAATGCTAAATTCACCAAAATATTTATTTTAAAATTAAAATAGCAGTTACAGTACCTTTAATTAAAACAACTGCTCATGGGAGGTGTTTAATAGAGAACCAACAACAACAAAAAACCCAAAAACCCACAACCACCAAAATCATGAAAGTTTAAGCACCTGGCCTCTGATCTGAAGTACCAGCCTCCAGAGTTGCAAGCACAGGTCAGACCTTTCAGTCATTGCCCATTCTACCGAGGCTGCAAGTCAAAGTTCTAACCAGTCAACTGTAAGATGGGTATAAATCCACCAGGAATTTGACTGAAACAACTAATTTATACTCCTGAATATCTTTACATTCAGCCATTAATTATCTGGGCTGGATTTTGACCATGCTCATGAGTAATTTATGACATGGTGTTTTTTTAAAAGAATGATTGTTTTCATAGTGAGCAGAGACACTTAAGTTGAGGAAGGATGAGTTGAAAGGTTTGAGCAGATGATCTCTCATCCTCCAAAACACATGGCAAACCATTTTAGGTTTTGATAAACAACCCGTCCCTAACTCCCACTTCTTAAACGTGGTGGTAGAACCTACTGGTTCCAAACGCCTCAGTGTTCCAGATGCCACAGCTGCTCTTTAACATTTCTAGGAACTTTATGGTTTCCCCACTTATTCTTACTCCAAACCTGTTCAATATGCTTACTTGTTCTGAGGCTTGAAAGACAACCTGTGCTGCTGTTGCCATAGCCACTGGAGGAAAGAAAGGACATGTAGGTCCTTCCCAAAGATCTGGCCTACAAAGGAGATGGCTGAAAATACCCCAATTAAAATAGTTTCTGAATGTAGGGGAGAAGGAAGCTGAACCTTTTTAAGCTTATCCAGATCAAAGCTTCTGTTACTTTATCATTAATGGGAACTCTATATTTGTTGGATTCTAATTTATTGAATTGTCTTCAGTCACTTTATGCCTATTTCCTATGTATCAAAGCTTCTTTTATAGAGGAAATGCGTGCTCAAGCATTTAATTCTCACAAGAGAGTTTGCGGTATTATTAAAAGGAAACAAAAAAACATTTAAAATTAGCTACTGCTAAGATTAAAATTCTCAAAAATGTATGATCTACTTCTTAGCTTTTAATCTGAATTACTTTTTGTTATGATATTTTACTTTTACAAACATGCAGGAGTAAACAAAACAAAGTGAGCGGTTTAAACCTCTGCGTCCAATGTGAAACATAGTACGCACAGATTCTCCATGCAAAGCCAAGACCTTCAATCTGAGCCAATTCTTCTGCAGTGTTTAGAGCAAGAATGGATTTTACATGAAAATCTGTTAATAGAATACCTTGCTAGATTGAACAGCAGGGGAAGTTGAGTGAATAGATGATGAAGATGAAGTAGCAGCTGAATCATGAGCTGGAAGGCAAGAGGGAGTTGGGGGCTGATAATAGGATACACCTTTAATAGGTAGTTTATTCTGTATAGAGCAGAAATAGAGGAAACATTATCAGAGAGGATAGTCACATTAACAAATGTCAAGTTGGCGGAATTGCACAACCATGCACAAGAAAAGGTTAGGAAGGTAGTAACAGTACAATTACTTCAAAACTGAAACTCTGCTACTCTGGTCAAATAAACACGACTTGGTTCTTTGTTAAGGTACACATTATTAAAAAGTACAGTGAAGAGTAACAGAACACAACAATAACCAGCCTCCAGAGAACAATATCTGCTTCAACTCTTACAAGGGAATGCACCAGTCTAGTAGATTAACCTCTTCAGAGTGTGTTTTGCAATTACTTAGGTTTCTCATTACTATGGAGTGTTTTACAGAATTCAGTCCATTATTTTAATATATTAGGAAATAGTGTCATTTCAGACAATAGGTGTATGATCTTGTGCATGTACAAAACTTTGTAGTGCACATTTTCACTTAACACATAAGCAATAAGGCCTATTATTATGATTAATGGAATCTGCACTCAATTTGGTGTGTGCCACACTGAAAATATATTAAAGTGGGCAAGATGAATGGATGGGATAATGAGATAATCATCAATTTTCACCATATGAATTTAATAACATTTAATTATGATCTGGTATCTACAAGTGCTGAACAATTGAAGTTAGTACAAGTGATTGGTTAAAATTTGAAAGTAATTCAACAACTATTGAATAAATAGAAATTATTTTTCTATTGGGGCACAATTGGCTGAAAGTCACAAGATGAGGTAGTAAATTTGACCTCAGAGGTAAATGCAAAAGTTTGGTACAACATTAGCCAAACAGAATTTATCCTCAAATAAGTGCATTCCAACTTGCTACAGTTAAGTGAAATCTGCTGAGCCAATTAGCAAAAAGAACGAGGAGTACTTGTGGCACCTTAGAGACTAACAAATTTATTTGGGCATAAGCTTTTGTGGGCTAAAACCCACTTCATTGGATGCATGCAGTGGAAAATACAGTAGGAAGACACACACACACACACACACAAAGGGATCAGAGTGTAATGGCCTGTAGAAGGTGGTGTTCACACCCTCTGATCCCACTGAGGGTTACCAAAAGAAACTACACCATCTGCTCAAGAAACTCCCTGAAAAAGCACAGGAACAAATCTGCATAGACACACCCCTAGAGCCCCAACCAGGGGTATTCTATCTGCTACCCAAGATCCATAAACCTGGAAATCCTGGACGCCCCATCATCTCAGGCATTAGCACCCTGACAGCAGGATTGTCTGGCCATGTAGACGCTTTCCTTAGGCCCTATGCTACCAGCACTCCTAGCGATCTTTGAGACACCACTGACTTCCTGAGGAAACTACAATCCATTGGTGATCTTCCAGAAAACACCATCCTGGCCACTATGGATGTAGAAGCCCTCTACACCAATATTCCACACAAAGATGGACTACAAGCCATCAGGAACAGTATCCCCGATAATGTCATAGCAAACCTGGTGGCTGAACTTTGTGACTTTGTCCTCGCCCACAACTATTTCACATTTGGGGACAATGTATACCTTCAAGTCAGCGGCACTGCTATGGGTACCCGCATAGCCCCACAGTATGCCAACATTTTTATGGCTGACTTAGAACAACGCTTCCTCAGCTCTCGTCCCCTAATGCTCCTACTCTACTTGCGCTACATTGATGAAATCTTCATCATCTGGACCCATGGAAAAGAAGCCCTTGAGGAATTCCACCATGATTTCAACAATTTCCATCCCACCATCAACCTCAGCCTGGACCAGTCCACACAAGAGATCCACTTCCTGGACACTACAGTGCTAATAAGCGATGGTCACATAAACCTCACCCTATACCGGAAACTTACTGACAGCTATATATACCTACATGCCTCCAGCTTTCATCCAGACCATATCACACGATCCATTGTCTACAGCCAAGTTCTAAGATACAACTGCATTTGCTCCAATCCCTCAGACAGAGGCAAACACCTACACAATCTCTATCAAGCGTTCTTAAAACTACAATACCCACCTGGTGAAGTGAAGAAACAGATTGACAGAGCCAGAAGAATACCCAGAAGTCACCTACTACAGGACAGGCTCAATAAAGTAACAGAATGCCACTAGCCGTCACCTTCAGCCCCCAACTAAAACCTCTACAGCGCATCATCAAGGATCTGCTGCTCCTTCAGGATAGGTTGTAAAGAGTCCTGTGGCACCTTATAGACTAACAGACGTATTGGAGCATGAGCTTTCGTGGGTGAATACCCACTTCTTCGGATGCTCATGCTCCAATACGTCTGTTAGTCTATAAGGTGCCACAGGACTCTCTGCTGCTTTTATAGATCCAGACTAACACGGCTACCCCTTTGATACTATCCTGAAGGAGGATCTCTCACTCTCACAGATCTTGGGAGACAGGCCAGTCCTCGCTTACAGACAGCCCCCCAACCTGAAGCAAATACTCACAAGCAACCACACACCGCACAACAAAAACACTAACTCAGGAACCTATCCTTGCAACAAAGCCCGTTGCTAAATCTGTCCACATATCTATTCAAGGGACACCATCATAGGACCTAATCACATCAGCCACACCATCAGAGGCTCATTCACCTGCACATCTACCAATGTGATATATGCCATCATGTTCCAGCAATGCCTCTCTGCCATGTACATTGGACAAAGCAGACAGTCTCTATGCAAAAGAATAAATGGACACAAAAATCAGACGTCAAGAATTATAACTATATTCAAAAACCAGTCGGAGAACACTTCAACCTCCCTAGTCACTCAATTACAAACCTAAAAGTCGCAATTCTTCAACAACAAAACTTCAAAAACAAACAAACTCCAAAGAGAAACTGCAGAACTGGAATTAATTTGCAAACTGGACACCATTAAATTAGGCTTGAATAAAGACTGGGAGTGGATGGGTCATTACACAAAGTAAAAACTATTTCCCCATGCTAATTTTTCCCCTACTGTTACTCACACCTTCTTGTCAACTGTTTGAAATGGGCTATCCTGATTATCACAACAAAAGTTTTTTTCTCTTGCTGATAATAGCCCACCTTAATTGATTAGTCTCGTTAGAGTTGGTATGGCAACACCCATTTTTCCCATGTTCTCTGTGTATATGAATCTTCCTACTGTATTTTCCACTATATACATCCGATGAAGTGGGTTTTAGCCCATGAAAGGTTTTGCCCAAATAAATTTGTTAGTCTCTAAGGTGCCACAAGTACTCCTCGTTCTTTTTGCTGATACAGACTAACATGGCTACCACTTTGAAACCTGAGCCAATTAGATAGCATCTTTCTGCTTCCTGGTGGATTAGAGGTGCAGTCAATTTTTTCTGAATCACTAACTTCCATCTCCTCTGTACCACTTAATTTCAAAGGAAAAAGTGTTACACTGGAATTCATGAACATATTGGAGAAAGTTTCCAATATTTCTGATAGAGATTTATGGAATTACACATATACTGACTTCTTTGGAGAATATCTACGTTGCCCCTCAAGAGAAAATATTGATCTCTATTTCGTATCAGTCAACAAAAGCCTTAACAAGAATTTCTCCCTCTCCCAATTCCCTAGTCGCCATTAAGTCAGCTCCTTTTCTGTTCAGCGCAGTGAAGGGTCATTAGTAGTTTCCAAATAAAATTCATTCACTGCAGCGGTGCAGAGAGAGGGTAAGAGAGATTCAGTAGAATCTGGGATACTGGTCTGCAACAGGATAACATACCCCAGGCCTATCTGTACATCTGACAGTGAGGAGTCACGGAAATCGTCACCGCTAAACCTCCACTTCAACCAATATCCTGACTGCACCTGGCCATTCAATCAGAAACCACACCCATGAGTAGCAACAGAAGAAGTGGAATAGTTTTTAAGATAAAACAAACCTATACAGTGAACACATTGATCAGCTGATTGAATATTCACCTTGTCAAGTCATTTCTATTTCTAAAGCTACCAACATTTGAATTCTCAAGCCACCTTTATAATGAGCTGTTTCTAGTATGTTTCAGGTATGCTTAAATATTCTCACACTTTAAATATCTGGTTATTCCATGTTTTCACTAAAAAGAAGGTATTATATATTTTAATAACATAAGTCATTCTGCATGATGTACTGGAATCTGAACTCCTGACTGTTTTAGCTTCACCCCAGATGAAAAGAAGAAATGAAAATACAAAGTTGTTGCAAATGTCTAACTTACATCTGGTCTCTTCTAGACTATTGTTTTTGCAGCTGCAAAACCTAAATATTCACCTTTGGTAAGTCCACGTATCCAAACATTGAGGCAAGATGAGCTGCTTTCTCTTTAATGTTCTTTTTATGAAATTCCCTATTTGCTACGGACTGAGCTTTCTTCTGTAATAAAAGCCAAGGAAGGGAAACAGAACAGAGAGACAGATTTTAGATAGCAGTCATACAAGAAAAGGCAGAAGTTCAGTATGTACAGGGAAAGGCAATTTATATCTTAACTATGTAACAGAAGCATGTAAAGTACAGAATATATAGTCTGCATAGAAGAATTAACCAGAATAAACACAGTTAAGAGAGACAGAAGTTAAAAATGAAATAGCTTGTCACCTGATTAATTTTTTCCTCCACGTGCTGAAGGCGTTTAAGCACTCCAGAAATCACAAATGCAGCAGGACAGGTAGATGCAAGAGTTTCTGAAAGCCTGGACTGTATGTCTGTTTTTTCTACAATTCTTGATCCCCTGGCCACACGATCAGAACCATGCAAAGATTGCTTTGGCTCTCTGACCACATGTTCAGTCCTAGCTACTGCCTGAAACTGGGAAACACTTCAAATGAAAAAAGTTGTTCTTGGACTATCATGCAACTCACACATGTTCTAAGACAACATACACAACAGTGTATCATAGCCAGGCACGTCTATGCATTTCATATAATGCAGTATTCTTCCATGTTTTAAAACACTGCATTACTATACAACTCATGCATATTTCCATGCACTGAAGTATATTTGGACTATACAACACATGCAAGTCTTCACATCCTGTAGTCTAGCTATCTCTCAGTCTCTCTGTTAGTCTATAAGGTGCCACAGGACTCTGTCGCTTTTTACAGTCTCTATGTGAACTCTAAATAGCGTGACTAGTCAGGGGGTCTCAAACTGGGGATCGGGACCCCTCAGGGGGTCGTAAGGTTATTACATGGAGGTTGCAAGCTATCAGCCTTCACCCCAAGCCCCACTTTGTCTGCAGCATTTATAATGGTGTAAAATATATAAAAAAGTGTTTTTAATTTATAAAGGGGGGGGCCACACTCAGAAGCTTACTGTGTGAAAGGGGTCACCAGTACAAAAAAGTCTGAGAACCACTGGACTAGAGGGGAATTCAACACATTCTCCTGTGATGTCCTGCAGTGTTGTGCATTATTGCCACAGAAAACATGCATGAAACTGTGAACTATTGTAGTGCAAAAATACCTCTGAGGAACACAACTTACTTCGCATAATTCGAGATCTACTCTATTCTGAGCCTAAGCAGAATACATTTCAGGTCCAAAGGTTTGGGGGTTTTATTAAAGTAAGAGGTGGTTCCAAAAAATCAGTCTACAAATAGAAATGGTCTTTGAACCATAACTGTGGTTTCATATTGTAATTAAAAATGATCCTCCCATTGGTATTTTCATGAAATCAGGCCTTCTATTTTATAATGGTTGACCAATTACATGAAATTAGCACACACAAAAAATAATCATTTCTCAAAAACACAAACACGTCAGCCTATAAATTGCTAATAATGGTACACCATACACAAGGATATCTTTCTTTAAACAACGATTCTCATCCCATTCATGCAAACCAAATCATGTTCATTGTCTGAATTATCGGCTGATCTACCCTTATACCCATCAGATAGAGGGAAGGAGTATGGAACAAGGAGCTCACATTCTACAGCAGGCCACTCTGATTTTTCTGGCATGCCAAGAATGGTCTTCCGCAAAATGGAAACAAGACAGCAACCTGAACTGCATAAGAAAATATTCAGCCCTTTTAAAATTAAGTATCAGCATTGTTTGATATGAGTACTTTTTTTTTTTTTTTTTAAGTAAGCCAAATTTATTCCGTGTTTCATTCTGGGCTACAATGAGGTTCCTAGCATAGATCCTTACCACAAAATATCTGGGGCTCCACTCAAAAGGACTGGAAAGTTGGATAACTGTTTAGCTCTTAGATGCTTATCTAAGGACAAGTCATGCCTGACTAACCTAATTGCCTTCTATGAGGAGATAACTGGGTCTGTGGATGGGGGGAAAGCAGTGGATATTCCTTGACTTTAGCAAAGCTTTTGATACAGTATTCTTGCCAGCAAGTTAAAGAAGTATGGGCTGGATGAATGGACTATAAGGTGAATAGAAAGCTGGCTAGATCGTCGGGCTCAACGGTAGTGATCAACGGCTCCATGTCTAGTTGGCAGCCGGTTTCAAGTAGAGTGCCCCAGGGGTCAGTCCTGGGGCCGGTTTTGTTCAATATCTTCATTAATGATCTGGAGGATGGCGTGGACTGCACTCTCAGCAAGTTTGCAGATGACACTAAACTGGGAGGAGTGGTAGATACACTAGAGGGTAGGGATAGGATACAGAGGGACCTAGACAAATTAGAGGATTGGGCCAAAAGAAACCTGATGAAGGTCAACAAGGACAAGTGCAGAGTCCTGCACTTAGGACGGAAGAATCCCATGCACTGTTACAGACTAGAGACCGAATGGCTAGGAAGCAGTTCTGCAGAAAAGGACCTAGGGGTTACAGTGGACGAGAAGCTGGATGTGTGTCAACAGTGTGCCCTTGTTGCCAAGAAGGCTAACAGCATTCTGGGCTGTATAAGTAGGGGCATTGCCAGCAGATCGAGGGACGTGATCGTTCCCCTTTATTCGACATTGGTGATG